ATTTTCAAATTTTGTGGCTTACAGACTTTTGAAGTAAGACCTAATCATTGTTTGGATTTCCTCAGTGTCTGTTATTACGTCCCCATTTTCATTTCTGATTTTGTTGATTTGGATAGTGTCTCTCTGTCTTTTAGTTAGTTTAGTTAGTTTGGCTTGTTGGTTTTCTTATAGAACCAGCTCTTGGTTTCATCGATTCTTTGAATTGTCCTGCTTGTTTCTAGGTCATTGATTTCAGCCCTGAGTTTGATTATTTCCAGCCATCTACTCCTTTTGGGTGTGTGTGCTTCTTTTTTATTGTAGGGCTTTCAGGTGAGCCATTATGTTATTTGTATGAGATGTGTCGACTTTCTTTTTGAAGGCACTTAGTGCTATGACCTTTCCTCTTAGCATTGTTTTCTTTGTGTCCCATAAGTTTGGGTATGTTGTGCCTTCATTTTCATTGAATTCTAGGAAGTCTTTAATTTCTTTCTTTACTTCTTCTTTGACCCAACCACTCTCTGGTGTTTTGGGGCCCACGTTCAGTCTGTTGGTCAATGTGCAGTCACTGCTGCCCTGCTGATCAGACACAGTGTGTAATCTGAGCTGCCATTTTTGGATCTCCCCTATAATGCTAATTTCAAGAGCATATGACTGTCAATACAAAGAACATTGCTGTTAGTCCTTCTAATATACCCAAGCAAAATTTAGGGGAAATAATTAAAAAAAACACCCATATCTAGTCTCAGATATTATCATGAGACAAGCAAGTCATGTTGGAACAGGTCTACTGTAAGCAACAGAGAGTTCAGCAGTGTTGTAGTGTATGGTGCTTGTGTGAGAGAGCTCACAGGGCCTTTATAGAAATAAGACAAATAGAAATATTCCAGTTATTTCAGTAGACAGAGATGTATTTTACAATGTCGAGTGATATGCATCACTCTGGAAGAAACTGGTTGGACCTGGAGAGAACTCTGGGCTGGAGGAGGTGCTGGTGAATAGTGATGAAGGAGCTTTGATGAACCAACTGCAGACTCTGAGGATTTTTCACGAAGCAGGAAAGACATTCTTTGTAAATTCTGGAGCTTAAGTAAGTGATCTGTGTATGGATGATGGTTGGGGATAAGGGTATTTCCTGTTCTGTAAATCTAGCCTTAGGGTTTTAATCTAATTTCTTAATACCTAGACAATTCTTTATAATATGTGAGGCTTAGTGAAATCTGAAAAGCAGTGAAATCCTTCAAAAGATTGAATTTGCTTTCAAATTTCATTAAGATGTCTGATATGGTTCAGTGTGACCTGAATTTTAGAAATTATAATATTTCCTCAGCTTTCTTTTTTTTTAAAAAATAAAGAATCCATAGAGAAAATTTAGTGGGGCCAATGTTTTAGACTTGAAGATCACCAATAGAGGTCTTTCCAGTTAGTAAGATCTGCTTCCTAACTGGAAGTTATCTAGTAAGACATATATCATGAAGTTTGTACACATAAATATTTACCAAAAAGTCATCACTTTGTTTATTTAAAAATGTACTCTTTACAGATTTATTGCTGTTTAATCAAAATGAAGTCTGTATTATATTTAAGATAAATAATTTATAAGGTTTTAAATATATGTGTAATTGAGAAATTGTTGCTACAGATCATATAACAAGTAACTGTGACTTCAAAACTGTTTTGGTGAGCTTTTGGGATCATTCCTTTTATTCTCTTTTCTTTGTCCCTAGGAAACTACTGATATGCTTTTATAATGATTATATGCATGGTCTAGAAGCTTATATAGTAGTCCTAATTATAACATATTAACAAATTTTGTCTGATGCTTAAATCTGCTAAATCCTCTAGAGACTGATATATAATATTTATAGAATTTGGTCCATTCTTTTTTATAGATGCATAGATTATATGGCTAGCTATAGTTTGTTTGTCAATTTTACTGTCAGAAAAAATGTTGAGTTACTTCAAGCCACTGACTTTTAATACATTACTAGGTACAAGTCCTCTTGTACTTTTATTTCTTTTGTAGTTTGCTTTTAAGAACAGATATCTTTAATTCTATTATTCTAATATTTTAATATTATGTTAATTGTTCTGAAAGTCGTGGGTGGTAATGGAGGGAGATACCAGAATCATACCAGTCACTTAGGGATTACATTTCATATTATGTCTTCCTGTTGACTTTAACCTGCTCTTCCAGATAATAAGTCAACCAATCACCTACCCACATCAATTGTATAAATCATATGATGGAGCAGCATTATATGGCTTGTGTTATTTTTCAGGTGAATAGAAAACATAGCATTAACTTTAGATGTTCATACATTAATCTCACAAAGGCCAAGTAGAGCTCTCTCTTTTTTTTTCAGTAGTAAAGGGATTTTGCTGATGTCCATGACCAAAAAGATTTTTCTCCTCCTGATCTTGACTTGCCTCCAGAGCATACAGCTAGGGCTTTAACAAAGTTCTGTATTTCTTTTTTAATATGTGTATTGTTTGAACCTCTCCATTGTTGTTGGCTGGCAGGCTGACTTGACATGATTACACAATGAATCAAGTCATGTCTATGACTTTAAGGTGATGTATGTTTGCCTGATAAAATACAGGCTACTCAGTTAAGTTTTTAGTAACTTCTTTGTATTCATATGCCAAATCCAAAGATTTGGTTATGTTTACATAAAAGTCATCATTTCTTTAAGCTTAAAATTTGGGTGTGTACCATGTTTTTGCATAAAGGGCTAATTTACAGTAAAACTTGAAGTTACAATTTATCAAATGCCAAAAGTTTTTTTTCTCTCTCTCTGCATTTCTTAGTCCTTTGAGACTTACCAATTTTTAACTTTTTATTAATTACAGTTTATTCACCTTGTATTGCACCTGTAACCCCCTCTGTTGTCCCCTGCCAATCTCATCCTCCCTCCCTTTTCCTCCCATGCCCCTCCCCCAGTCCACTCATAGGAGAGGTCCTCTTCCCCTTCCATCTGATCCTAGTCTATCAGGTCTCATCAGGAGTGGCTGCATTGTCTTCCTCTGTGGCCTGGTAAGGCTGCTCCACCATTAGCGGGAGGTGATCAAAGAGCCAGCCACTGTGTTCATGTCAGAGACAGTCTCTGTTCCCTTTACTAGGGAACCCACTTGGAAACAGAGCTGCCATGGGCTACATCTTTGCAGGGGTTCTAGGTTATCGCCATGCATGGTCCTTGGTTAGAGTATCAGCCTCAGAAAAGACCCCTGTGCCCAGACATTTTGGTTCTGTTGTTCTCCTTGTGTAGCTCCAGACCCCTCCAGGTCTTTCTACCTCCCCCTTCTTTCATAAGATTCTCTGAACTCTACTCAAAGTTTGGCTATGAGTCTCAGCATATGCTTTGATACTCTGCAGGGTAGAGTCTTTCAGAGGCTCTTTGTGGTAGGTTCCTTTCCTGTTCCTTATTTTCTCTCTCCCCAATGTCCATCCCTTTTGCCTTTCTGAATGAGGACTGAGCATCTTACCCAGAGTCCTCCTTCTTGATTAGCTTCTTTAGGTGTACAGATTTTTAGTATGTTTATCCTATATTATATGTCTAAGATCCACTTTTAAGTGACTATATATCCTGTGTGTCTTTCTGCTTCTGGGATACCTCACTCAGGATAATCTTTTTTCATTCTCACCATTGGCCTGCAAATTTCATGATTTCCTTGTTTTTAATTGCTGAGTAGTATTCCATTGTGTAGATGTACCACAATTTCTGTATCCATTCCTCAACTGAGGGTCTTCTGGTTATTTCCAGCTTCTGGCTATTACAAATAAAGCTACCAAGAACATGGCTGAGCAAATGTCCTTGTTGTGTACTTGAGCATCTTTTGGATATATGCCTAGGAGTGGTATGGCTGGATCTTGAGATAGCACTATTCTTAATTGTCTGAGAAAGCGCCAGATTGATTTCCAAAGTGGTTGTACAAGTTTACATTCCCACTAGGAATGGAGGACGGTTCATCCTTAGCTCTGAGGGAAATGCAAATCAAACCATGAGATTTCATCTTACACCCATCAGAATGGCTAAAATAAAAAACTCAAGTGACAACACATGCTGGAGAGGATGTGGAGAAAGGGGAACCCTCCTCCACTGCTGATGAGACTTACCAATGTTGTACAATGAGTTTCAATCATATTCACTCTTCAGATCATCTCATATCTATCCCTTCCCTTTTTATTCAATATTGAACCTGTGTTTAATCCCTTCAAGACCAATTTTATGCTCCCCAGGTACGGCTGGATGTGTGGTCCTCCCGGAGTGTGGTCAATTTTCCAATGGTTATTCTCTGAAACATCTAGCTATTCTTTTCCCAGAAGCTACCAATTGCCAGTTTCTCCATGGTTAGGAGTGAAATTGTGTGCCCATTTTTCTCCTTTATTTGGCAAAGATTGGGTTTGCACAGGTTTTATGTGCACTGTCATAAGTGCAACTTCTCTGGGGTATCCAGAAGGTTTTTCTCTTTAGTCATCCACCACCTCTTCCTATTATAGTCTTTCTGGCTCCTCTTAAGCAATGACCCCTGAGCCATGGCAGGAGAGCAGCGAGGAATATCTGTCACTTTAGTGCTAATCATCTTTCAGTCCACTATTTTCTGCACCTTGGCTAGCTGTAGTTATCTGTTTTAATCACTAATTACTGAAGATAGAAGTTTCTGAGATGATGGTCGGGAGATCTGTTATTCTCTGGGTAGAAGGAGAAGTCATTAGGAGTCGGTTAATATTATGTCAGTTTAGCAGCATGATAAGGTGGGTTTTTCCTAGGGTCTACAGACTGTCTAGCCATACTTGATTCACAGAGCATGATGCAACAGAAGCGTCTGATGGGATAAAGGTGCTGAGAAGACGTCTCCTAATCAGAACTAGACATTCTATCAAGCGCTGGCAAGCTTTACTTTCTAAAAGGAAAAGTAATAAAACTGACACTTTTGATAGTTTTGAAGAACCTCTGTCTATCTAGACAATCTATGTCTCAAGTCTCATGGTCTACGGCCTTTCTCTGGTCTTATTTCTAGATATGATGAAGCCCGAGTTCTCTTACTTTTCTGTATACTGTTTGTCCTTTTTTCTTCTGCAAGTGGTGATATCTTCAGGTAAGAGGTTTATTTCTTAATTTTCATTTACCTTTTCCTTTAAAAATATTTTCAAAATATCCTTGACCATTTTGTACACAAATATAGTAAATTTAAACTGTGTTCACTTCCATTCCCTGTTCACATCTCCTTCCTTCTCTTGATGACGCCATTCTTCCCATCAAGGTCCACTCCTACTTTCACCCTCTTCTTGCCTATGGCCCTTTGAGTTTGATTAGGATTGCTCACATGAGATTGGGTGGAAGGTTATTTACTAGAGCAAAAGGAGCTTATCCCTGCTACACCACTGGAGAAATGATATTCCCTGCCACAGAAACCATTAGGTTTCAACAGACCCTCTGGCATAGATGGGTGCTCTTGATCTCCTTTCCCACCTATGATGAAATATTGATGGATTTGGTAATGTTCACTGATTGTGTCTATGACCACGGCTGAGATGCCTGCATGAGTGTAACATCTATCATATCCATAAGGATTTTTTTCTGCACATCTCACGTGTCTCTTTCTGCCCCCCCCCCTCACTGTTCCAAGAGCCTTGAAGGGGATGATGTAGATGTCGCATTTAGTGCAGAGCATCCTTCCTTCCCAGCATCCTGGCCAGCTATGGGTTTCTGAATTAGTGAACAACCCCTGAAAGATGAATTTTCTTTGTTGAAGACAGAGCTTAGCACTAATCTCAGATGGAGGAAGGAACCTGAAGATGATGATCATTTACTATTTTCTTATCAGTTTTATGTGCACATGAAATCTAAGATACACTTCCAGGGACCCATCCTGTATCTAAGGAACAGAAATTCATCGCTCCATTGTTATAGCAAGTAAATAGGAAGAAAAGTGTAAATTAGAAATTAGTTGTAGTTCTATAAAAATGAAATGACTGGGAAGCCGGGAGCCAAAGTAAACCTCCCCTGCTTTAAGTTGTATATCTGAGGAATCCCGTCACTGTCCCCAGAAATTGACCAATTCTGAGGGCTTAGATACACTGTGAAGTCCCACAATAGTCAAATCAGGCAAATTCCTTCTCCATATAACTGGTTTTTTTAAGCAGAGAAACAATTTACTGTGCTTTCTGCTCTAGCATGTTCTCCAATATATTTTTAAAGTACAAGGAAATGGTATTGTGTTTTTTAAAAATAAGATACTGATGGACTATAGGGAGTATCATTAGGGCTGAACATTTGGATCACATAGGTGTGATGGGCAGTATTTAATATTTCTTTAAAAAAAAAACAGAGTCTAGAGATGAGCAATCTAGGCTTCAGACTTATTTTGGTGCTCTTTGTTTTTCCACAGAGAAGTTGATGGTAGCTACTACTAGGAGACACGTATTAGCTAGAGCAGGCGGCCAGGCTGCTCAGCTGCCAGGTGACTCCACCACGCAGTGCAGAGCACATGGAGGTGGGCTGGTTCAGGAGCGGCCACTCCCAACCTGTTTACCTGTACAGAGGTGGCCATGGACGGATCGAGGAAGCTGCACCTGAATACTCGAATCGCACAGAGTTTGTGAAAGAGGCCATTGGGAAGGGCAAAGTGGCCCTCAGAATCCACAATATCAGCATTTCAGATGACGGGCTTTACCAATGCTCGTTTAATGACGATGGCTTCAGTGACGTGAGCACCATGAACCTCAATGTGACGGGTGAGCTGTTGTGGAACATAGTATAGCAGGGTCCTTGTGCCAGCAAACTGAAATATATAGACACTGTCTCGGTGATTTTTATGTTTTTCCATATTTTAAAAGTATCGAAGTGTATTATTTATTTAAGATCACTAGTATATATTTATCTTTAAGATAACTTTGAGATACCCATATATCCTAATCACTGCCATCTACTAGCTGCAGTGATATAATAGTTACTTTTGAAATTTTTCTTTTATTTTTTTGAGATTATAATACAATGTACAATTACATAATTTTCTTCTTCCCTTTGTTCCCTCCAAACCCTCCCACATACCTCTCATAGCTCTCTTTCAAATTCACGAAATCCAAACCCTCCCACATACCTCTCATAGTTCTCTTTTAAATTTACGATATCCTTTAACATTTAGTGTTGTTAACACACACACACAAACACACATATATATTCCTAAATAGATAAATATAACCTCTTCAGGTTACTTATGTTACAAAGAAGTAATGTGTATGTTACTAATATATATGTTTGTTTTGGGGCTGACCATTTGGTTTTGGGTAACCAACTGGTGTGCTCTTGCCTGGGGAAGTCTGTTTCTCCAGCTCTCAACATTCCTTTGAGTAGTTGTCTTTGTATAGGGTTAAGGACTTCCAGGCGTCCCTCACCTCAACCCAGACTACTTTGGCAAGCCTGTTGTTGTCATTGTTCACCTCATATTTAGGCAGTCATACTACTGACACTTATTGGGTGTGGCTTGTTATATGATTAGGGATACAGTCTCACAGCAAACATCCTGCTCCTCGGGTTCTTATATTCTTTCTGCCCCTTCTTCTGCAATGTTCCCCGAGCCTTAGGTTATGAGTGTTGTTTTGTAAATGTAAAAATAATGCAGCTGCCTCAAAAAACAAAACAAAACAAAAACAAAAACAAAAACAAAAACAAAAGCAAAAAAACACTATGTTATGGGTAGACACCAAATACCAACTGGTTAGTCTAGCTTGTAAAGCCAATGTGATGTTGATTTACAAATGTTCCAAGATTATAGAACAAACTATTGTGGTTCTGTGATCTTTGAAACTGTCAATTGAACTTCAACACAATATCCTGATTCCCTTTTTCTCTTTTTCTCCAGCTGTTGGACTGGAGACACAGATATATATTCAGGCTCCCGATGTTGATGGGGTCATGGTGGAGTGTAATTCAGGAGGGTGGTTCCCAAAGCCTCGAATGCAGTGGAGAGACAGCAGGGGGCAAGCCCTTCCACACTCCTCAAAGTCATATTCCCAGGATGAAGCCAGACTTTTCCACATGAAGATGACTCTTTTCCTCACAAACAGGTCACAGGGCACCATTACTTGCTGTATTTTCAACCCTGTATCGGGTGAAGAGAAGCAGACCAGTATCATCCTAGCACGTGAGTATTGTAGTCAGGTTTGCCTATTGATCTGGAAACATAAGGACATCTCTAATTTTGAGAGATGTACTCTAATACTGAAAAAGCATATTATATTACAGAATTCCCTTTGGGCATCAGTAAGACAAGCATTGTCAGAGGTATAATGAGAGTACTCAAAGGCAAGTGGACAATGACAATCTGTAATAAAAACACATATCACAGCTTTATTGGCATTGGATGTTATGTCATTAGACATAATTTTTTGTGTAAGTTTAATAAGATACATATTTTGGTAACTTTAAGAATGTTGTTGATACTTTATGTTTTTTTTAATCTAGGTTATGAATGTATGTCCAGGAAATAAATATATAACTAATATGTTTTAAATTTTATTTTATTTATTGGTGTGTGTTTGTGTGTTGTGTGTAAAGGCACATGAGAACACACGTGATGGTGCATGTGTAAAGGTCAGAGGACCACTTTTGGGAGTTAGTTTTCTTCTTCCACAGTAGGTTTTAGGGATTAAACTTGGGTCTTCAAGCTTGCATAATAAGCAGTTTTACCTACTGAGTTGCTCAGTTTAATGATTTTTGTTGTTCTTTATTTATTTTTATTTTGACAAAATAAAAATTCCTCCCTGTGTATCCCTGGTTTGCCTGGAACTTGCTAAATTGACCAGGCTGGTCTTCCATGTATTCATATCCTCACGTCTCTGCTTCTGGAGTGCTGGGATTAAAGCTGTGTGCCATTGTGTCTGGTGCCCAACTTTATGGGGTTTTCTTTTTATGACTCTTAATGTGTTTAAGCAAAAAGCTTTCATTATTATCATGTGATATTCAGTAGTGTTTTCCCATTTGAGTATAGTACTGAATGATAGTTGATAGAGGCCAGTAAAACCGGTAGAAAGTAACACGTGCAGCTAAAGCCCAGACGACTTACTCCTACATTGCTGGTTGTTTGAAGTGTGACAGCTGAATGCCAAAGACAAATCAGAAAAAACAAAACAAACTTGTATCTAGTGCATAGTAAAATCACCGTTAGCTAGCAAGGCTATGCAGGAAAAGGATGTGAGTATCAGATTTCACTCTCACTTCATGGGATCAGTTTTTATCCTGAGAACAAAGCACACACACACACACACACACACACACACACACACACACACACACTCCCTCTATCTCTCTTCCTCTCCTTCTGTCTCTCTTCCTCTGTCTCTTTCTCTCTCTCTCACACACACACTCCTCTTTTACTCTTTGAAGACTAGAAAATAAACAGAAAAATAGATATCGCTCTCTGACAGTGTGTGAGTCTGTAAGAAAGGTTTCTGTAATCACAGAAAAAGCAGCATGAGTGAATAATCATTGAAAACACATGCCTGTAACCCCAGTACCTGTAAACTTGAGTGAGGTAAGGATGATGGAGAATTCCATGACAGTCTAGGCTACATAGTGAAAACCTGCTCTCTCTCTCTCTCTCTCTCTCTTTCTCTCTCTCCGTGTGTGTGTGTGTGTGTGTGTGTGTGTGTGTGTGTGTGTGAGTGAGAGAGAGAGTTAGAGGCAGAGACAGAGACATGGAGAGAGACATAGACAGATGTTCTATAGATTCTGCTGAGGGTTTTCAATATGTTGAATATCTAGTGAAAGACATTTTATAAGAATGATGAAAAGTCAAGGAATGAGTCTGAATGGAGAATGTTTTCCCTTGATGTAGGGAAATTGCATGATGACCACATGTCAGACATCAGATTCCAGGACTTTAAGCAGAAGAAGGATGTTCATGATCAACTATTTCCCAGCTGGCAATGCTGTCTGCAGTGTTCATATTGGTTCTAAGACCTCCTGTTCTTTCTTTTAGATGACCTCTTTAATCGAGACCACGTTTGGATGAGCATTTTAGCTTTCACTGCATGTATAATGCTCGCTGTATTTGTGATATTCATCGGCTTCTTTATATATCTGAAGTGTATTGGCTACTTTTGGATAGGAGCAGGTAATGATATGATGAAGGTAGAATCACTAAGATATCTTAAAGAAATTTGATTCCAAGTCAGCTTGTGTGTTTATGCAAAGCTAGATGACATTGATCTTCCAATGCCATGCTTACCACAAGCAGACTCATGGCTGGTTTTCATCTTGGAAATGTTGAATTTCACATTGTTACTTTGGGATCCCTAAGGCATGGCTGTTCTTAGGGGTGGTGTCTGATGACCTGCCTTGTGATCTTTTCATTCCTATACTCACTTTCACAACTCTAAAGCAGCACATAATGAAGCAACGAAATAAACGAAAAAATTAAATCTTGAAAATTAAAGGAATATTCTGGAAAAAAAAGTAGTTCAGCTCAAAATGGAATAGACTTCTGCTTCAAGTCTAGATTTCTAGTGCAGCGACGCTATTTCATCCTTTCTTGCCACTAGTTACAAACCAAACTTTCAGATGGATTCCTAGTAAATCAAGAGGACGTGAGACAGCGACTCCTGCCTTTCCAGATAGTTGTCTGTAGGCTAGTGTTCTACAGTTATATGCTCCTCTGTGAACATTATACCCTTCTCTGTTCTAGGGTCTTCATCTGGATGCTTACCTAAATGTCTTCATGTGTTGAACTCAGACCCTGTTCAAATACTGAGTTTCTTAGCCTGTACCGTGGTAATCTTTGCTGTGTATCTGCCAGTCCGGAAGAGAGGTAAATGGAATTAATCATGGTGGGATATCCCTTGGTTGATCTCATATTCCTTAGAAAAAAAAAAAGATGTTTTTGGAGAGTCAGTTATGAATGAATTTCATCATTACCTGGAGAACATGTTGCTTTGAGTTTAGCCCTTAGTACTGAAAAAATATGTATTTGAAGTGCAATGTCTCCAACTTTGATTTTTATGTACAAGATCCTTTGGCCTATTTGGTAATACCTCGTGATGCCACACATACTTCAGAATATTATTTATTTATTTATTAAATTTAAATGTTCTTTTTTCTTCAGAGTTCCATACATGACTATTATAATTGCATAATTTCCACTCCTCCCTCTTCTACCTCCAAATTCTCTTGTGGTCCTCCTTCCTCTCAAATTTATGATCCATTCTTCTTTAGTCAGTGGCCTGCAGCTCTTCATATGTAGGGCCTTGTGAGATTTCTGCCAACCATGTTGACATGGTAACCATTGTTTTCTCTTTTTTCTTTTTAAATTATTATTAATTTTTATTTTTATATTAATCACAGGTTATTTACTTTGCATCCCAATCATAGCTCCCTCCCTCATTCCCTCCCAATCCCACCCTCCCTCCCTCATCTTTTCCCTGACCCTTTCCAAGTCCACTACTAAGGGAGGTCCTTCTCCCCTTCCATCTGACCCTAGCTTATCAGGTATCTTCAGAACTGGCTGCCATGTCCTCCTCTGTGGCCTAGCAAGACTGTTCTTCCCTTGGGGGGGGGGGGCAGGTAAAGGAGCCAGTCATTGAGTTCATGTCAGAAATAGTTCCTGGGTGCTGGTCCACCTGGCTATCTACATGCAGAAAAATGAAAGTAGGTCCATATTTATCACCCTGCACAAAACTAAAGTCCAAGGGGATCAAAGACCTCAACATAAAACTGGATACACTAAGTCGGTTAGAAAAGAAAGTGGGGAAGAGCCTAGAACTCATTGGCACAGGAGACAACTTCCTGAACAGAACACCAACAGCACAGGCTCTAAGAGCAATAATCAATAAATGGGACCTCATGAAATTGAAAAGCTTCTGTAAAGCAAAAGACATTGTCATCAGAACAAAATGACAGCATACCGATGGGAAAGGATCTTCATCAACCCTATATCTGACAGAGGGCTGATATCCAGAATATATAAAGACCTAAAGAAATTAAAAATCAATAAATTAAGCAATCCAATTAAAAATGGGGTATGGAGCTAAACAGAGAATTCTCTGTAGAGGAATATGGAATGGCAGAGAAACACTTAAAGAAATGCTCAACATCCTTAGCCATCAGGGAGATGCAAATTGACCATGAGATTTCACCTTACATCCATCAGAATGGCAAAAGTTAAAAACTCAAGTGACAACACATGCTGGAGAGGTTGTGGAGAATTGGGAACCCTCCTCCATTGCTGGTGGGAATGTAAACTTGTATAACCACTTTGGAAATCAGTCTTGCTCTTTTTCATACAATTAGGAATAGTGCTTCCTCAAGATCTAGCTATACCACTCCTAGCCATATATCCAAAAGAAGCACAAGGACATTTGCTCAACCATGTTTGTAGCAGCTTTATTTGTAATAGCCAGAACCTGGAAACAACTCAGATGTCCATCAATGGAGGCGTGGATACAGAAATTGTGATACTTTTAACAATGGAATACTACTCACCAATTAAAAACAAGGAAATCATGAAATTTGCAGGCAACTCATGGGATCTGGAAAAGATCATCCTGAGTGAGGTATCCCAGGGCAGAAAGACACACACGGTATATACTCACTTATATAGACCTATAAGATAAGATAAACAAACTGAAATCTATACACCTAAAGAAGATAAGCAAGAAAGAGGACCCAGAGTAAGATGATTGATCCTCACTTAGAAAGACAAATGGGATGGACATGGGAAGTAGGAGAAAACAACTAACAAGACTGGAGCCTACCACAGAGAGCCTCTGAAAGACTCTACCTAGCAATATATCAAAGCAGATGTGGAGACTAACAACCAAAACTTTGGCAGAGTACAGGGAATCATATGATAAAAAAAGAGGAGTTAATATGACTAGGAGAGGACAGAAGCTCCACAAGGACAAAATATATCAGGGCACAGGGGCCCTCTGTGAGACTTTTTCCAACCAAGGACCATGTACGGATATAACCTAGAACCCCTGCTCGGATGTAGCCCATGGTAACTCAGTAACCAAGTGAGTGTTCCTAGTAAGGGAAACTGTTTTCATTGTGCAAATCTTGCACAAGAGACCATATTGTTATGGTTTAATATTACAGGTGTGTATCACAGTACCTTTCCCTAAAGATATTCTGTAAAATGTAAAGAAATATTACATTTTGTTTAAAAAATGGATCCTGTAGTACACAATCTAACTACTTTACTAAATTTTTTTTTTGCCTTCTCTAGTCTCTCTTTCAGATCCTCAGTTTTCCTTATACAACAACTGGATAACTGAATTGCTAATTGTGATAATTTTCCTGACGTTATGCTTTGTCTTACCAATCATCGCCTTATTATTAAAGCAACTCGTACATCCTCATCTACGTGTCTGACAAAACATGAGAAGAACAATGATGACATCATGGACAGCCTCACTGGACTGGAAAAAGCCCATGAGGTCTCAGTCCTACATACTGAATTATAAGCTGGGAGCAGAAGTAATTTCCACTGGGAAGAGCAACCAACTGGTTGTCCAGTGCGAAATCATCAGCCCTGAAAACATATCTGAAACAATCTGAAACACGAATAATATGTTTAGGAATATATATATATATATATATATATGCATGTAATAATATATATACATGTATATTCATGTAATAAAATTATTGAAAAAAGAGGCCATGAATTTGAAGGAGAGCAGCGTGAGTTACATGGAAATGTTTGAAGGGTTGAAGGGAAGAAAGTGAAAACAGTGTTATTAAATTATAATCTCAAAAAAATTTTAAAGTCTTATTAAAAAAGAAAAAAGATAAGAAAGATCACGACTTTAATTTACATCTAATATACCCCACTCGATGGATCATTGTTACCTAATGTTCTCCCTGCTTCTGAGGCAAAACAAGATGCATGTAGAAGAAAAGTTTTGCTTAAGCAATATATTAGTAACCTAAGGGAAAACTTCAGTTTTCTCTTCCATGAGTAACTTTGTTTTTACTCTAAGTGTGCTGTCCCAGAGGGCTCAGGCTTCTGTAATGCTGTCTTTTCACCAGCAACTCACAGAGCCATTGCTGTGCATTTGAGGAGGTTTTTTTTTTTTTTTTTTTTTTTTTTTTTTTTTTTTTTTTTT